TTAGTACTAATACTATTACATTTCATGCATTTATTGTCTATTTTATATACCTTATTATACCAGTAATTTCTTTGTGGCAGCACTGTTACATTACAGAAAATTATTAATTCTCACCAGCATAAATATGCCCGTGGTAAAATTGAGGTGGCTAACAGTCATTTTACAAGATGCTTACCAGCATGGAGGTTCAAAAGTAACAAAGATAGGTCAGAAATTCAGGACCTTAACATTAACAGCACCCCTTCCAACCAACTCATGCTTGTCTCCAATAAGATCCTGACAATGGCCTCACAAAATGATCTAATTGTTCCTTAATTCCAACTATTTTCTGTCACTTGTAAATATTAACTCAATGAATGTGGAAACGTACAAACTGAACACTTTTTATATGGTTGTATAACTCGATACATTTTGGAATATTAAACATTTATACAAGCAGGGAGACAGAGATGATGCTTTATATCTCATTTTAAAGACTGTATCTGTAAGAATGCAAAAACCACAACCATATGCAGTGACTGAGGTAAATAGCATGAAATACATTTACAGAAAAGGTTGTACAGTATATAAAGTATAAAAGAAATATGTTGATTGAGTGAGATGGAGTGTGGTGGATGGGGGCTTATGAGCAGCATAAGCATCAGCATTGATGTGTTGGGCAAAGTTGCTGTGAAACTCTAAGTAAATTCTAAAAAGTGGATCAGCTAATGTTTAATATGTATCAATTGCTGAACAAAATGATAAAGATTGTCAGGAAGTGTGTCAATGGGATGTCAAGATTTGAAAGCTTTATTCATTAACATATTGGCATATCAAAATGCATTGCCTTCGCAGTTTCAATGGATATATTCTAGACAAGACAGACGTCCCTCACAGTTTAGTTTCCAATGAACTGCAACTTCCATTTTTAAAATAATTTAGCTTCAGACACAGTAAAGACAAAAATAAATCCATTCATGTCACACAGACGATGGTGGAAAAGCTGCAGAACATTGCCAAAGTAAGAAAATGTTGAAACACCATCGAATGTCAATATACAAAGTATAGTAGATCATGAATATAAAAAAAAACGGCAAGCAATTGTTTTAAATTCAATGTTGGCATTAAAAAAATGGTTAGGGCAAGTAAACTCTTATCCAAAGAAAGATTGAAAATGATTTACATCAATTTATAAACCGACGGATATTAAGTACGATTCCATTTATAGCAATCGTTATTGTTGAGAAACAAAAGTATCAACTAAACATGAAGTGCTAAGAAATAAGAAAATAAAGCCCTTTCCAGAGTTTTCAAATTTAAAAACTTATTGGTGGTGGAAGTTAAAAGGTCTCTTTTAATCACATGCCAGAAAGATCAAATGAGAGAAACATGTTGCAAAATTCTGTAGCTCGTGAACATTTTTTCCTAAGAGTTGGCAACAAATCAAGGGAAAGAACAGTTCTGAAATGATGCATGAAATCATTTGGATGGATGTTGGCTTCACTTTATAAAATAACACCAACCAATTTGATCATTTTGTTATGAGTGAATAAATTGTTTCGCCTTTGATATTTCAAAAGAATATAGTATTTCAAAACAATATTTTGTGGGAACAAAAAGCTCTAATGTTGTGGCCTAAGCAATAATTCAGTCTTAGGACAGATGATATGCGTACAATTAGTTAGTATTTTTGGCTATGGGACTGCTATCTATTCAACCTTCCCAAACAATAGCAGTCAATGAAAACGGAGATTGCTAGTAGACTGAAATGGAGCTTTTCACTCGTAGATTGTACAAGCTGTAACTGATACAGCATCAATGACAGGTATCCTCATTACCAATTCACACCAGTCAATTCAAACATGTATATAACCCATTATTACCAGAGGACTTAAAACAACACACAAGGTAGAACAGGTAAGTGCAAAAGTGACATGATCTGAGATGGCACTTAAAATCCAAAAGGCTACTGAACCTGAAACTGAACAATCCCCTATTATACAAAATTACTTTGCTGCAAGGAAAAAGCTGGTTTCAGGATAATGCAATACTGAGCAGCTTGCAACGTACTCCACATTTCTTTGGCCTTACACAACGCTGCTTTCTGAATAATACAATACATGGAGAATGCAGAGATTAATTCTCTTCTAGAAAGTGTGCAGTAAAGCTGGGCTATTTATAATTTCTATTCCAGGGATATTAAGGGTCTCGAAACCAAGACGTGTAGATGGAGTTATGGTCTAGTTTTGCATGGTTATGCAACTCCATGCATTTGGGAATATTGTACATCTGTACAAGCAGGGAGACAGGGTCATGATCTGATTGAATGATATAACCCATTCAAAGGCTGAATGGCTTGCTCTTGTTCTTATGAGAGTATTTTGATAGCTATGTGAATTTATGATGGAGAAGAGGAACTGATATATTTAGTCACATCTCTCCGAGCTGTAAACAAACTGGTCAGAATGAGAGAGGTATGGTCAGTTGTATTTATGAGTGAGACCAAAGGCAGGAGATCAGTATTTTGTTCTGGCAGTAAATATTTATTAAAGTCATACACTGACACTGCCAGTGGTAAAATACATCATGAATTATAAACAATTGTTTGTACATTTTTATGGATGGCAAGCCTGCAGATATCCCAATTACAATGGTTAGATGTTTAATGTCCAGAAATTTTGCCAATTATTGAAGGAACCACTATCTTGTTGACTTAATTTGTCCATATTTTACTTTGTTGCTGGCTTGTAATTGTTCCTTGTTTCATATCAATTCTTATGCTGCAGATTGGGCAGCAGTGTCAACAAACCAATCAATTTCAACAAAGCCTAACCTATTGTCCAGTTTGTCTAACTGATTTAGTTACCTGTTCTCTGTCTCTACTGATGCGATCCGTCAGAAGGTCTGAGTTGCTTCTCTCTTCATCCAGTTCCATTTCCATTTCTGCCAATTTATCCTGTGAACATAAATCAGATTGAGGTGTATAGTGGCTCAGAAATAACAACTGCTGTTCTCATAAAACTGTTTTCCCCTTTTACACAGCTATGATGCATTACGTTTCAACAATGGCTGTTAGTGTACAAAAATGCTCAGTGTAAAATTCTTTAGACTGGAGGTACAGAACAAACGAGTCAAGTCTGCATTGCATCAACCCTTAGTTTTTCAAAAAAGCTTAAATATTTTAAATCAATTAATGATGCAAATCTGCACAAAATGCTGTTAGAAATAGAAAGGTTATACTTTATTAACATTAAGAGATTAACCATTTAATTATTCAATTAAATTGGCACCATTTTGTTTGATCTGAAACAGTTCTCTAGGATTATAATCTTAATGCATATTTCATACATTCAGTTTTCTAAACATCATTAACATCATAATAAATAAACCAAGCAATATTTAATTTCCCTTTGAAGGCAAAACCCAATTTTTGAAAGGTCATTTCAACTTTTTGATTGTAGTGACCATCTGAACCATTTTGAAGTTAGCCATGTGGTCAGATGCGCAACTGCGGTCGATTTCCTGAATATGACTGCAAACAAAACATTTCCAAAAAAGTAAATTTGATCACTAATTTTTGTTCACCTCCATTTGCTTGATCTGTCGATTTCGGTCGTCCTTGAATTGTGTTTTACTTTCAAGGTCAAGCTCAAGGTCACTAACTTTCTGCCTCAGTTGTTGGCTTTTCAGAACAGCTTCATCACGTTCACAGCAACAGTGTTCTAACTCCTCTCGCATTTGTCGCATCTGTTCCAAAATGCCCCAGAACATATTAACAGGTTACTGAATAAAAACCATAAATGCTGAATACCTGAAGGAAAAAGAGACATCCCTGGATAATCACAGCAAGGCTAATGTTTCTCTAATCAGATCTGGTACATGCTTAAAGTCTTTGTATTTCAAATGTAAACTATTTTAATCCTAGTTATTTGGTGATTATTGCTATATTAGTAAATTTAAATGTGAAGGAAGTCAACTGTCCCCTGTAATTCATAACTATATGAGCACAAATAAGCACTAGCTGTGGCTTTGAATCAGATAGTGATGTGTTCAAGCCCTACTGTTGAGACCTGAACAGAGAATCTAGGCATGACACTCCATGCAGCAATAAGGAAGTGTTATACTGTCAGAGGGGCTCTCTCTTGATGTGATGTTAAACCACTCTCTTCCACCTTCTTGATGAACATAACATGATCCATGATAATATTCAAAGAACAGCTATGAGTTTTCCCTGTAGCTTTGCCAAAATTACTTCTCAAATGCCACTATTAAATAGAATAATAGGTGATATACACCTTTCCTGGGCGCAACATGGCACATTTCCCTGGTTTGAAAGCCTTACTGGAATTCCCAGCACAGCATCATCTACCCCTGTATTCCTTTACCCATACACACAACTGAACATAAACTGAGTTGGGGAACACTTCAGTGGTCAAGGGCACTCAGCTTCCAATCTTTGTGTAAGCGTCCTCCAAGGCAGACTTCGAGATACACAAGAATGCAGAATCACCGAGCAGAAACTGATAGCCAAGTTCTGTACCCATGAAGACGGCCTCAACTGTGATCGTGGGCTCGTGTTGCACTACATGTGACACCACCACACTGTTCTGTATCTGTAAAACCGTCCTTACTGCCCGGTTTTGAAAACATCTTGATAAATTATGATCTCTCTACCTTAGTTAGTTTGTACAGTTTTGGATTACTTATTACTTAGTTTAGATCCTTGTCATGCGACTCTTATACCTATCATGTTAATCCAGTCATTTGGTTTGTCTCCAGCACCACCTTATTTTTAATGTTTTGTAATTATCTCTCTGCCTCAATTAGTTGGATTAAAGGTCATCCCTCCACTAATTATTCAGCTATTAACACATTACTCACACCATCTAACACTCTTGGTCACCTGCGGGGACTTATTATTCTACACTCCAGCTGCACCAGTCGTATGATCTTTTGATCTCTCTGCCTATAAACTCTGTGTCTGAGATAGCAGTAACTGCAGATGCTGGAGAATCTGAGATAACAAGGTGCAAAGCTGGATGAACACAGCAGGCCAAGCAGCATCAGAGGAGCAGGAAGGCTGACGTTTCAGGCCTAGACCCTTTTCTGAAGAAGGCTGCTTGGCCTGCTGTGTTCATTCAACTCTGTGTCTGTGCACTCTTCTCTCTCACTTCACCTGACGAAGGGGCTGCGCTCCAAAAGCTTGTGATTTCAAATAAACCTGTTGGGCTATAACCTGGTGTCATGTGACTTCTGACTTTGTCCACCCTAGTCCCACAGTGGCACTCCACATCATGATTTCCCATGAATGAATTAGATGTGAGGAAACAAAAACAATGGAATTTGAAATAATGACGTCCACCAGCAGAGATCCCTTTTTCAACCAAAAGATGGCAGTAAGATGACAACACTTCACTGGAACCTTATCAGTCCTGGCCACCATAATCAACTTTATTCAACATTACAGCTTCATGATCACTAGTACTTATTTCTGATAAAATCTACACTACTCATTAGAATGTATTAGAATATTCTAGAATTTAGAAATTCATTCAAAAAACATTGAACCAAATTTAAAACAGACACGTATCTTGTCTAAGACAACAAGGTGCAGGGCTGGATGAACACAGCAGGCCAAGCAGCATCATAGGAGCAGATCCACTCTTATGACGTGGGAGAGGGAGAGGGATGCGTTAGATAAGATCTGGGCCAACACTGGAATTTCATAGAAGGAAGTAAATACATAGTAGCTTGGTTATATGATCTTGGCCAGTGGGACGAAACTGGTTATGGAAACAACCGCAAATCAATAGAGTTTTGGGGTGAAAAGGTCAGTGGCAGTTTGGTTAATAACGATCATTTTAGCACTAAAAATATGATCAATGTGAATTTATGAATATTTTGGTTTTAAACAGATGTTTATCTTTATTTTATTTTTCACTTTTAACAACTCATTTTATCAATTTTTGCAGAAGAGCTTTGTGTTTCAAGTAAAGCTCTTTAATTAAAACACATAAGGTTAAAAAGACTCAACAGGTCAGACAACAGCAGCCCTGATATCTCTGAAAGGTTGTTACCAATATTTTTTCAGGAACATGGATAGAGCTGCTGCAGTAGGGGATGAATGAGGGCAACGATTTCTAGCGGGATAGAAACTCAGAAATAATGGTTTTCCATGCCACTGCAGCTAGATGGTTCAAGGGAATCATGCAGAAAAGAATTAGATCCCATTCTGCCCAAGTTAAATCATGGAGTGAGCTTCACTTCCTTTTGTATTTCATAGCAATGTTCCATAATTAATCACTTTTGATGTTCAAACTTTTTTTTAGAATTGGTACATAGATTTCCCCTCAGTATTCCAAATCATTCTTTGTAAAATGCATTGGAAAAGCAGGATCTATAAAGTTTTCCAGGTTTATGGATGAATTTATCTATTTGCATGCAGCGAGTTGAAGGTGCTTCTCTATGAAGAGAAAGTCAGTGTAACTTGATGTTGTGGTATTTTTGCTTGGTCTTCCACGACATAGAAAAAAAACAAAGAGAACAGAAAAGCAGACCCAGATCGCCAACTTCCTGCAACAGCATTGAGATAATGGCTCCACAGAAACCTGGGGAACTGAGTTCAATGCAAACTCACCACCACCCTTGTCTTCCACTTGGCCTTGGCCTTGTCTTCCACTCAAGCAGGATCATAGCCATGAAAACTGTTTTTTGGAAAACAGCTTCTAATGATTTCTAAATTTTACAGAGATTCAACAGGGAAAACCCATTTGGCAAATCCTTAATCCTAACAGAAACTATATCCATCGAGTCTGCTTCATCTTTCAATGAGATCATGGTTGATCTGATGATCCTCAAGTCCACTTTCCCACAGCTTTCGATTCCTTTATGGATTAATAAATCTGTTGATCTCACCCTTAAATATTCTAAATGACTTCTATAGGTCTCTGCAGTCAAGAGTTCCACAGATCCACTACATTCTGGGGGAAGAAATTCCTCATCTCTGTCATAAATAGGTGACTCCTTACTCTGAGATGATGCCTTTTTGTTCGAGATAGCTCCGCAAGGTGAAACAACCTCTCCGCAACTATTCTGACAAGCTCCTTCAGAACGTTATATGTAGGGGGTAAGTGTGAAAATTTACAGAATCCCTCAACTTTCTCAAGATTAATAATCTAGTAAATGACACTGCAATCTCCCTCAAGTAGATTTTCGGTTTGATAAAATTTGAAGGGTCCTGACCTGAAACGTCAGCTTTCCTGCTCCTCTGATGCTGCCTGGCCTGCTGTGTTCCTCTAACTCCACACTGTGTCATCCTTATAACTAGTTGTTTTCTTATATTCAGAAAATATAAAATTACATATGACAATGTCTGGATACAGTGAAGTAACTGGTTAATTAGAAACGTAAAGATACTTCAAAATGTTTCAAAATGCAGCTATACATATTTTTGAATTGTGATCTTAAAGATTCTTGTTGAAATACCAGTGAATATGATTGAGCTGTCATCTCCCAACTAGTCTGAACCAGATAATGCAGGGTATTTTTTATTTATTATTTTATTTATTTATTTTATTTATTATTAGACATAATAGGGTGAACTGGAAGCAAGTTAATAATATGAGATCTTATGAATGCAACCTGGTAGTTGGGAAGGGAGAAAGATTGGGGAAATTACACAGCAATTTTCTGCAATCCCAGTTTGGTGAGCTACTGTCAGTTCTGTATTTACACAACAGAACACCAAATAGCAGCATTATTTGAGAGAAAATTCCCTAAGCAGAAACATGAAGCCTTGATACTACCATTCTTTGAAATCAAAGCAGAAAATGCTGCAGAAACCAAGCAGGAACAGAGTTAAAGATTAGAGACCAACATGACCCTCTTTGGAACTATCAGTTTAGGTGGCTACTGGGGATGTCAAAAGAAAACGAAAATAAAACCTTTTTATGGTGGCTTTCACGATATTAGGACACACAATATGTTTTGCAACCAATAAAGTACTGGTACTTTTGAAATGATATCACTGTCAGGAAATGCAGTACCAAATGTACATACATGAAGGTCCCATAAATATAATGAGGCAAATGTCAGCAGAATCCCTGGGCATTGTTCTAAAAGTGCCTTGGAATCCGACCAGGCAACCAGAGTCTCAGTTGGAAAATTCATCCAAAAAATATCACTTTGGCAGTGCAGCACAGCTTCAGTGCTGTACTGAAATATCGATCTCTGGAAACAAGCTGAAAAAGGCAAGACTACTGAGTCACATTTGACACCAAAAACCAATTTGTAAATGAAACGAGGAGACTCTGGATGCAATAGGGCTACCTTTTAAATCTTACAGTGGACTGCAGGAGAGCTAGCTCATTTTAATATCACATGGCTATGATTAAAGAATTCCACAAAGCAACCAGTTTGCTCTGAAGCTAATTGATTACAACAGAAAATTTTCCAGCAAAGGGACCTAAAGTTCTCAAGTATGACTTTTATAATGCTTTAACCATTAGTCATCATTTCCATTGCGTTTAGTAGGAAATCACTGGACAGTTTTGGGATTCATTATTATAAATAATGTATAAGACTATGTTTGTTAAACTTAAATTGTAAAGGAAATTAAGTATTTTTACTCAACACATCCGGCATTTTGAAGCTGTTCTTTGGACAATACAAATTCCTCATCTGGATAAGTTTTAATGGAAGTTAATATTTATTATTTGACAAATTAAGAGGAAAAGGGGGTGTAGAATGAATGGTTCTTTTGAAAGAATGCTTGTAAATCTTTTGCTGAAAAGTTTATCCCTGCCTTTTACATTTCACAATGTGAAAAAGTTTATTTTTTAAAGGTTTATTGAAGCCATTGTCTTTTGTCTCCATTACAAACTCATTCTCTAGACAATGACTTTATCTCTCTGCTTGGCATTGCCTGAGCCTGGATGTGGTTCTGCCCCTGATTCATACAAGACAGCCATTGGATCACATTTTTCCGAACGATAGCGAGGCCTGTTGCAGTGTTTCAAATACCACCCATACCAACAAGTGAAGGGTCTAGGCCCGAAATGTCAGCCTTCCTGCTCCTCTGATGCTGTGTTCATCCAGCTCTACACCTTGTTATCTCAGATTCTCCAGCATCTGCAGTTCCTACTATCTTGTTTCAATAATAGCACCATTTCTGACACAGAAACAAGCTTCAGACCACACACCCACGCTCTCAGTACAGAGCTTCACCTATATAACATTATTCAACTCCACCTCAGGTCATTGAATGCTGAAAGCCTCATCCATACCTGATTGTGCAATCTCCCATCATGCACGTCTGTAAGGGATGCAATGACCTACTGGTATTATCGCTAGACAATTAATCTACAGACCCAGGTAATGTTCTGGGGATCCAGGTTCAAATTCCAGATTTTTGTTATGGCAGGATTAAGAGTCTAATGATGACCATAAAACCATTGTTGATTGTTGGAAAATCCCACCTAGTTCACAAACACCTTCTGGAGAAGGAATCCACCATCCTTACCAGGTCTGGCCTACACATGACTCCAGACCCACAACAATATGGTTGACTCTTAACTTCCCTCTGAGCGATTAGGGATGGGGCATAAATGCTGGCCTGGCATCAATAACCACATCCAATGAATTAATAATAAATTTGAGGACCACCAAAACTCTGCTGTCCGTGACCAAGTTGCACAAAGTCACCGAAACACATCTGTGACACACTGACCTACAGAGGCTCCCAGTTAAGCCACAAATCAGGTCCAATATTGTCATTCCAGTTTTGAAGTCCTTCATGACTTCACTCCTTCCTTCTCTAACCTCCTCGATTCCAACAACTTCCTATTAATTATTCCTGTTGTTAGTCACGCAATTGTTGGCAGCTATACCTTTGCAGGGTCAGCAATTCCCTCCTAATTCTCTGCTTCTCTACCTCATCCTTTAAGCAGCTCTTTAAATTGGAAATACAGAAAATAACAGGGGTATGTCATTCAGCCTGCTCCGCCATTCAACATGGCTATGGCTGATCATCCAACTCAGGCCCCGGTTCCCACTTTTGCCTGTTACCCTTTGATTCCCAAGAGCAATGTCTAACTCCCTTTTGAAAACATTTAATGCTTCAGCCTCAACTGCTTTCTGTGGCAGAGAACTCCACAGGCTCACTACTCAGAGTCAAGAAATTTCTCCTCATCTCAGTCCTAAATGGCCTAACCTGCATCCTTAGACAGTGACACCTGGTTATCAGGAATATCCTTCCTGCATTCATCCTGACTAATCCTGTTAGAATTTTTAGGTTTCTAAAATCCTCCTCAATCTTCTAAACTCTAGTGAATGTAGTCCTAACTGATCTAGTCTCTCATTATACATCAGTTCTGCCAACTCAAGAATCAGTCTATTAAACCTTCGTTGCACTCCCTCCACAGCCAAAACATTGTTGCTAAGATAACAAGACCATAATTTTCGAGGTGTAGTCTCACAAAACCCTGTACAATTGCAGGAAGACATCCCTGCTGTTGTAGTCAAAACCGCTGCTATGAAGAGCAACATACCATTTGCCGTCATCACTGCCTGCTACACCTACATGCTTACTATCAGCGACTAATGTACAAGGGCACCCAGGTATCACTGAACCTCTCCACTTCCCAATCTACTGCCATTTAGATAATAAGCTTTCTTCCTATTTTCACTATCATAGAGGATAAACTCACATTTGTCCACATTATACTTATCTGCCAAGCGTTTGCCGACTCACTCAACATATCCAAAACACATTGAAGCATCGCTGCATCATCCTCACAATTCACCCTCCCACCTGGCTTTGTGTCATCTGAAAACCTGGAAATATAACATTTAGTTCCCTCATCTAAATCATCATTATATAATGGGAATAGCTGGGGTCCAAGCACTGATCCCTGCGGTACCCCACTAAATAGTGGCGGCCACTCAGAAAATGACCTGTTTATTCCTACTCCATTTCCTCTCTGCTGCCATGTCGGTACACGATGCCCAATCCCAGATACTTCCATTCATCTGTCTGACCAAACTATCGACCTTAATAGCTCCCGATGTTGCTCAATGTCAAATTTTATTTGATAACACTACTGTGAAGTACCTCAGAACACCTTCCATACCAAAGGTGCTATATAAATATAATTTATTGAGCAAAAATTCACCATTTGTCCACGGCTGACCAATTCCTAAATAGGGTCATAGAGTCATGAAGATGTACAGCATGGAAACAGACCCTTCGGTTCAACTCATCCATGCTGACCAGATATCCTATATAAATTTAGTCTCATTTGTCAGCATTTGGCCCATATCCCTCTAAGCTCTTCCTATTCATAAAGCCATCCAAATGCCTTTTAAACAAAAGTAATTGTATCAGCCCCCACCACTTCCTCTGGCATCTCATTCTGCCTGAAAAAGCTGTCCCTTCGTTCCCTTTTAAATCTTTCCCCTCTCACCTTAACCCTATGCCCTCTAGTTTTGGACTCCCCACCTGGGCAAAACACCGTAGCTATTTTTCCATGCCTCTCATGATTTTATAACCCTCTATAAGGTTATCCCTCAGCCTCCAAAGCTTCAGGGAAAAATAGCCCCAGCCTATTCAGCCCTTCTCTATAGCTCAAACCCTCCAGATCTGGTAACATCCTCATAAATCTTTTCTGCACCCTTTCTAGTTTCACAACATCATTCCTATAGGAGGGAGACAAGAATTGCACACTTTACCGCAAAAGTGGCCAAAACAATGTCCTGCACAGCCGCAACATGGTCTCCCAACTGCTGTACTCAATGCACAGACCAATAAAAGCAAGCATACCAAACACCTTCTTCACTATCCTATCTACCTGTGACTCCACTTTCAAGGAACTATGAACATGCACTCCAAGATCTGTTTGTTCAGCAACACTCCCCAGGACCTTACCATTAAGTGCATTAGTCCCGCCCCGATTTGCCTTTCCAAAATGCAACACCTCACGTTTATCTAAATTAAACTCCATCTACCACTCCTCAGCCCATTGACCCATCTGATCAAGATCCCATTGTACTCTGAGGTAACCATCTTTGCTGTCTACTACACCTCCAACTTTAGTGTCATCTGCAAACTTATTAACTGTATCTCCAATGTTCACATCCAAATCATTTGTATAAATGACAAAAAGCATTTGACCCAGCACCGATCCTTATGGTACACCCCTGGACACTGACCTCCAGCCTGAAAAGCAACCTTTACCACCACCCTCTGTCTTCTACCTTTGAGCCAGTTCTGTATCCAAATGGCTAGCTCTCCCTGTATTCCGTGTGATCTAACCTTGCTAACCAGTCTACCGTGAAGAACCCTGCTGAATGCCTTGCTGAAATGTGTAAGGTTTCTTCTTTAATGTACTCTTTCCTTCTCTAACAGACAGCAGAGAAATCTGAGCGTTCTAAACCAACAGAAGCTACAAGTCTACAAATTCTGAAATAGTTAAAAATAAATGTTTTGTGTGGAAATAAACCCACCAAATGAAGGAGTTTTTAAATACAAAAATGATTTGAGTATTAGGTAGGAATGCTAATAATTGCTTTTCCATTGTTAAATCTATTGAAAACTCATTACAATAAAATGGAATTGAAGTTGCAAATGATTTCTAAATAATAGAATGTTCATTTCAGAAACTCAATAATACACTACTAGCTTTGACAAGGGAATTATGTAAACAGCAAATATACTTTTCCAATATTCTTTCTATCAAATGAACTTTGGGTCCAAATAAGCAATTCTAAAATTTAATTTTACTAATACAATCAGTTTCCTGTGTTGTGTTTCAAATAAGCACAAAAGCTGATTAACTTTCCACTGAATTTAACTTTCTTTAGAAGTCTTTGGTCAAAGGTTATTGGCTAAAGGTTAAATAAACACAGTTATCTTAACATTACCTCATCCTGCAGTTTCTTGGTTATTAGTTGAGAGTTCTCAGCCTCCAGGGCTTTAGTTTTCAGTTGCTGCTGCAGGACATTCAGTTGACTGCGATTCTTTTCCTTGTACTCATCAAGCTCCTTCCGCAGATCAAGGTTTGACCTCTGAGAATCCTGACTCATCTCAGCCATCTGCATAAGGTAACAGCAGTGAGATGGAAGTGGGGGAAGGGGAAGAAGATAAAGGAGCATTTCTTTAAAACATTCAAGAGAGAAAAAAAATGAACTCCCTGTTGGAAGTCACTACTGAATCGCATCCTACCACCTTTTAAAGTCATAACAATTCACCGTCATAAGAAAAATTATCCTCTTCTCCACTCTAGCTTTTGTGACAGTGTCCTTTGGTTTCCGACCATCTGCTGTTATGCATTTCTTCTTATTTACTCTATTGAAAACACTTATAATTCGAAATCCCTATCTTAAATCTCCCATTTATATCCTCAGCTTTAAGGAGAACAATCTCAGTTCTTCTAGTCTCTGCATACAACTTAAGTTGCTTAGCCCCACAATTTGAAAATAAGGAAAAGTTCTAATTTGCAAATGCAGCAAGAATCACAGGATGTTACTTCCTTCAACAGAAAGGCATATCTCAAAGCACATTTTCACACCACAAGCAAAACTGGCTCTTTGCCAACTCCCCCTTTTCACTTATTTGTTCTCCAGACTAGAAGGGCAGGCTGGTGATTGGGTCTAATTCTGGCCTTTGCTGGTGCTGCAGCACTGTCACTAGGAGGTGAACAAAAATCTGGGACTGATTCCCCCTACCTTCTTCAAAGGAAACCATATCCCTCCTGAGACATTATCCAAAGCACCATAATTGTTCCAGCCTGGTTAAATTGGCTGCACACATTGGGCTGGCAGGTTTTCTTTAAAATCTGGAACACTATATTGTGCACGCTCAAGCACATGCATGACACATGATAATGTCACCTCCCCACCCTCTAAACAAGGAAGTAACATAGGTACACCTTATGATGAGTGCAGAGTTTTACAATAAAAATGTACTTCCAGTGCATACTACTGCATTTAGGTGATTTGTTTAACAATTTGATTATTTGAAATAAATTTAAAATGTTATTTCATTTAGCATTTTATTATTTTAACATTTCTTTGAAAGAGCTGACATTAACTGGATGAATACAGCAATGTCATACTTGAATTAACTCTTAACTGACTGATTATTTTAGCAGGGTTATGAAGCAGGAAGTTATCCTCCTACCATGAATTATTAAAGAGTAACATTCATTGGATACAAACAAAATGATCTTGTGCAGTGTTGAAATAAAGGATCCAACCTCTTTCTCAAGTTTCTCAATCATCTTCTCCAACTGCCTTTTCTTGACCTCCATTTCATTCTTCATTTTCTTCAAAAGATCCTTCTGAGCTATTTCTGAATCAAGTCTTTCCTTTACGTCTTCATACTCCTGTGATCGGTTATTGAGGCTTCTCTGCAGAATGAGACAGTCATCAAGTAGCTAAAACAATTTGTTACATTAAGGGTTACTGCATTTGCAAATTAAGTGCTATTGTGGACGAATTGTTTCTGATGGACTAAAACTGGGTAATGGGCTGCCCACACAACACAAAGAAATTACTTGTATATTTTACTGCTTTTTACACATACTATCACAAGTTCTGTTTTATACCAAGGTGCGACTGTATAAACTTACCTCGTGCAATATTGTGGATTCACTTTTGAAATTAAGTGCATATAAAACATCTCATTAAAACCTGACATTCAAGTAGTAGAGAAGGTCACTATCATGCAGAAAGGTAAATGAGATGTAAAACTACACAGGAGTTCTTGTTATCTCTGGTCAACATAGGATTCAATGTTAGAAGTCTGGGCCAAGGAGCAATGAGAAGGAGAAGGCAATCAGAGACAGCCAAATACATCATGAGAAGCCAACAGGATTCCATAGGAAGTTATGAGGAAGGGTCACCAGACCCGAACGCTAACTCTGTTTTTTCCTTCACAGATGCTGCCAGATCTGCTGAGCTTTTCCAGCAACTTTGTTTTTGTTCCAGGATTCCATAAAATGGTTTCTAACTAAAACAGAAGGATGACACATGGACTTCACCAGGGAAGTCTGTGGGGGAAGACCAGGCCTCAGCATGGAGAGTTTCTCACAGATGAGCCATAACTGGACCAATCCTAACACACATTTATAATTAGCACTACTCTCCATGCAGCAGGTAATGTAATCACAGTTTTTGACCATTTGATCTTGGGATATCAGCATTGTTGGCAAAACTGGCATTTATCCTCCATCCCTACTTGTACTTGAGAAGTTAGTGGTGAACTTTTTAAACTGCTTCAGTCTTTGTGGTGTAGAGACTCCAGTTCCAGGGAGTTCCAGCATTTATACTTAGCAACAGTGAAGGAACAGTGATGCAGATACAAGTCAGGATGGCGTGTGATTTGGAGGGGAACTTGCAGATGGTGGTGTTTCCATGTATCTATTACCTTTGGTCTTCTTGGCTGTAGGGGACAGGAGTTTGGAAGATGCTATTTAAGGAGGCTTGGTGGATTGCTGCAGTGCATCTTGCAGATAATATACTTTAATGTTACTTTGCACTGGTAACGGAGGACATGAATGTTGAAACGTAGATGAGTAATTGACAGCCTCAATGAATAGCCTACTAAACGGGCTGCTTTGTTTTGGATGTTGTTGAGCTTCTTGAGTGCTGCTGGAGCTGCATTCACTCAAACAAGTGGAAAGAATTTGATCATGTTCCTGACTTGTGCCTTCTAGATGGCGTACAGGCTTTGAGGAGTACAAAGTCCAGTAACCCTCAACTGTTCTATCACACTGTTTCATCATTTCCAAACAACTGCAAGATCAGCTAATAGATAACTAATCATTCGTTTATTGGTAAGTGAAACAGATGGAATCTGGGTGTGACTTTGTTTGCTTCTTAGCTAGCCAGGACAATGCTATCTCATTGTGTCATCAGCTTAGGAGCTCTGCAAGTGCTCTAAGACTAAACAGTGTCCATTGTGGAAGGAATATGTGGGTCTCAAATTATTTCAGTTCTTTGAAACCTGATGCTTAAGGGATCAATGCACAGGGAAATGCCTAAATATGTATTAAGCCAGGCAGAAACCTCTCTGATTTTATCTCAAAATAACACAGTCCATTGGCCCTCATTTTACATCCCCACAAGCTCACCCCTTCCACACAACTTTCGGCGAAGCAAATTCGCTGCGTCTTAAATCTTCCTATAAAGTTTCTGTTGTTCAATCTTGCTTTCCATTGACAAATATTTTGCTCCATGGCTAATACTTCATATTTGTTTTAGATTAATTACCAGAAAAACATGTACATCAAACTGATTTTATACTGGCTAAACAAATGCATAATGTCAGTGTTTACTGAACTATGCGAAGATTTGTTTGAAATTTGGAGATTGGCCGAGGACTTCATGCAGACAATAAGAAGCTCATAAAGAAGGAAGCCGAAAGCATGCTGAAGTTGGTTGTATTAAAAATTATAACAAAAATAGTGAAGATGAAGGCACACCACTACATCAGAGCTGACCATTTTGGATCCTAGGGAGGAAGAAGGACGAGAAAAGTAATTGATATTGAGATGAATGAGTAAATATAGTTGAATTTGGACAGGAATTATATTTGTTTTGCAGATTTTGCCAAAGCATTCAGCTAGGTTGATTGGATTAAGCTGCTGACCATACTGAAAGATATTGGAGTAGACTAGATAGGCAGACAACTCAAGTAATCTGTACACAGGGCAAGCAGCAACAGTGAGTGTAGTTAACATGAGAGGAATTCAACAAAGGATGTTGTTTATCACTAGTCCCATAAGACATTAAGCCACAGCAGCAGAATTGGGCTATTCGGCCTGTTGCATCTGCTCTACCATTCGATCATGACCATTATGTTTCTCAACCCCATTCTCTGCCTTTTCCCCATAACCCTTGATCCTCCTACTAATCAAGAACCTATACACTCAATGACTTGACCTCCACAGCCTTCTCTGACAATGAGTTCCGCAGGTTCACCACCCTTTGGCTGAAGAAATTCCTCCTCATCTCAGTTCTGAAGCGTCATCCCTTCACTCTGATGCTATGCTCTTAGGTCCTAGTCTGTCCTACTAGTGGAAACATCTTAATACTCTATCCAAGCCTCTCAGTATTCTGTAAGTTTTAATCAGATTGTCCCTTATCCTTCTAAACTCTATCGAGTACAGACGCAGAGTCCTCAACTCTCATCTGATAAGCCTCGCTGTCATACCCCTCTTTCCTGGGATCATTCTTGTAAACCAGTTCTGAGCTCCCTCCAAGGCCAGGACATCGTTCCATAGATACAGTGCCCAATACTGCTCACTATTCCAAATGTGGTCTGACCAGAGCTTTCTTGTATTCTAGCCCTCTTGAAGTGAATGCTAGCATTGCATTTGCCTTCCTAACTGCCAATGGAATCTGCGTGTTAACCTTACGAGATCCCTGAACCAGGACTCTCAAGTCCCTTTGTACTTCAGATTTCCAAAGCTTTTCCCCCCTTTTCTGTTTTCTTCCTATCAAAGTGCTTAACCTCACATCTTTCCACATTGTCTTCCATCTGCCACTTCTTTGCTCACTCTCCTAGCCTATCCAAGTTCTTCAGCAGCCTTTCCACTTCCTCAACACTATAAATTCCTCCACCTCTCTTTGTGATATCTGCAAACATAGCTCAGTTCCTTTGTCCAGATTGTTAATGTATAACATGAATAGTTTTGGTGCCAACACTGACCTCTGCAGAATTCCACTAGTCACTGAGTGCCATCCTTTATCCCAACTCTCTGCCTTCTGACAGTCAGCCAATACATGTCTGTACCTTGCCCCTAACACCATGAGCTCCTATCTTATTCAGCAGCCTCCTGTGCAGCACCTTGTCAAAGGCCTTCTAGAAATCCAAATACATTATAATCACTGGCTCTCCTTTGTTTAACTTGCTCATTACCTCCTCAAAGAATTGTAACTGATTTGTCAGTCATGACCTCCCCTTAACGAAGCTGTGCAGACTCAACCCTATTTTACCATGCACTTCCAAGCACTCCACAATCGTATCCTCAATAATGGACACCAAAATCTTGCCAATGATCTAGGTCAAGTTAACGTGCCTATAATTTCCCATCTTCTGCCTTGCTCCCTTCTTAAACAGAGGTGTTACATTAGCCATTTTCCAATTCTCTGGTTCACCCTCCCTGACTCCAGTGATTCCTGAAAGATGACCACCAATGTCTGTACAGAAGCAATGATCAAAGAAGCTTTTAAAGTCACAGAATCTTCCATTACACTTTTTTTTGAGGGGGTGGGGTGAATGATTACACCAGTTTGATTTATAGATGTCAAAGCACTAGCAGCAAGCACAGGATGAAGAATACAAGAACCTGTAGATTCTCAAACTGCAACTTTAAATTATACATTCGCTCAGTTGTTCTAAGAAAAGTGCAGATACCATATCATTAAGAGCTGGTTTTGCAGAACCACTTTAGTAAGCAGTTCCATATCATAAATGTATTGTACAACTGGTCACTAATTAACCAGCAGCTTTTACAAGTACAATTTCTGTATTTAAATAGGTAGCAATCCTACGACAAGACATACTTCTGCTCCTGAAGTATTTCCCATAAACACTGTGTGATAAGTATCTGTGTAAATATTTCTGAGAGAAAAAATTCCGAATTTTTGAGTCATTAAGGAGCCTGTTAGAGACTTGACAATCAGTCCTCCTGACAGGAAAAGACCACTGAATTATGTTAATCATTTGGTCAGTTTTGCTGATCGGAATGCTTCCTGATCATTGATGCTGATCCCATTATCAGCACAATTCAGGATTCAATAGTGGTCAAGCAAATGGCACTGGGAGCCACAGCCCAGAGGAGGAAGGAGACAAAGTCCTTAACCAGCTTAATGGTTACTTTCTGGCCAATGGATTGACCATGGTAGGTCTTCAATTGACTTCTTTCAGATTAAGAAACATGGAATTTCTCGTCCATTATTCAGGAATTATATTTATCAAGTGCCTGGTATTTCACATAAAATACTAGACGGGAACACCACCGTTTCCTATTTTAGCGTCCATGCCCATTAGCCCACTGCATAGTACTAAGGCCAACGTTTTGTTCCTATGGAACAAAAACAGAAATTGCAGGAAAAGTACAGCAGGTCTGGCAGCATCTGTGGAGAGAAATCAGAGTTAACATTTCGGGTCTAGTGACCCTTCCTCAGAACACTTCCAAGGTTTATAGGGCTTGGGATGATAACCAAATATAGAAAATTCTTCACTCCCCACTAAGTTTGTGTTCTTTTGTTTATTCGTGCATTGCTTACAGCTCAACTAAATACCTGGACTTCTTCCAACCGGATCTCCAAAGCTCTTTTTGCGAATGAAATGTCCTGTTCTTGGTCTCCAATTTCTCTCAAGGCAACTTCCAGCTGCTGCTTCTCTTTCTGCAAAAGTTATGGTGGAACAGATTTTAAGGTTATCTCTGAATCCCAGTTAAAAGAGACCAAAAGCTGCTTTCCCCACTACACCTTGGTGGCAACTGCCCCAAACCACTTCCTGTGACTCAACTATTCATAACTGGGTAAAAATATGCATTGGCCCATTGTTTGTGTGATCACTGTCAGTTCTTCTGAAACCGAGTGGTGTCAAATATGGCAAAGCTTTTGTATTGGCATGTTTCTGAATGGTCTGAGTTGGGGCTTTGTTGATTGCTCGCTATCCTTTTGGGTTTGTGGAATGGGTGAGGCCTGGAACTTTCAATCCTCCAGCAGTAACTGGCTTCGTTTCCAAGGACCAGCAATAGCATGAGTAGGCTCTATACTGCACTCCAGTGATGTACGGCTTGGTACCTCTTTTGCCTTCTCACTGCATTGCTCAGCAGCAATGGTAAACATTAAACTGTTGTCTCTTACCTTCATTAATAGGGCATTTCTGATCTATCTTAAGCAATATACAGACTTGATGGCAAAGAACTACTCCCTCAGCAAAGTTGCTGAAACTCTATACTGTATGAAATTAATACATTGGATCTTCAGATAAAGGAGCAAAACAAACAGAGGTTATAGATATAAACAACATCTCTGTAACTGCATTACCTCCAGACATGCAAGTTTATCCCTCAACCTGCTCTCTTCCATCTTCATGTTAGAAACCATGTGATTGAGGTCACTGATTTCATTCAGTAATTCTGCAATTTTTCTCTTCAGGGTCTCATTTTCATCCATGAGGTGTTTCACATGATCCTCTGCAGTGTCCTTTGCTTGTTTAGCTACAATTTGTTC